AGGGCTTCATAAAACCCAATAATTACAAGCAAGAAGAAGCCCATAAGGGTTTGAACGTTTTACTGTCTAAAATAACTCAAAGCACATAACTTCTAAACGTATCAGAACCCAAATTCAGAGTACACATCTATTTAAGTATGCACCTATTTAAGAAAATACTCTGGCTGGGAATCGATACTTCTGGCACACATTATTTGATCCAGTAATCCAAAGTAACCTCAGAAGTATTCTACCATTTTTAAACTGCTCAGCTCCAATCATAGCCATATTTAGTCACCAGATGGACTTCCTTCTTCACCTATTCCATCATGTTAAGAGTGTAGATTAGCACCTTATCATGACTCATGATGCACTTTTATCATCCACACAGGAAGGCGGTGAATAGAAGGTTATGCTAACCATTTGACGGTAAAGGAGACATAAACAGATGCTGTCCACGAGTCTCAGTGCACCAGTGGCAACTACCACCCGTTCTGCTTCGTCTGTTAGTGCGGTGCGTGAAAAGGAAGGCAAGAGGCAGAAAAATCATGCAGACAGTACTCTTTACTGCAACAACGGTGCTTTCCATTCCTTGATGAAAAATATTTTATTATACGTAGTTATAACAGAGCAACGCAAAAGGTAAGTAAGCAATTGCTTGACTACTCTGGGCTGAGACCAGATGACTGCAGCAGGTTCACAAAGGTCTCACCTCCATTCCTCTTCTCCTTCACAAACAGAAGAGTGGGGTCATTTGCTTTCTGCAGATGCGATTAGGAACAGAATCCACTCAGAACTGATTCTCACTCTTACCAATCCAGAAATCTGTGGTTAACTTGTGGCTTGAGCCTGTTGCACTTACCATTAATATGATAAAGAAAAAGCTTGATCAGAGTACAAAATTATAAAAATGGTATGATTTTCACTGTGAAAAACAAAAGTCCTCAAGTTTATGTGCACCTGAAAGAAAGCATTCTAATACCTGTGTTAACATGAATACTGGGTCTGGGTGATAGGGCTTCAGTTCCATTTCCCTTCCTGTCTTCTTTTTTTCTGAGTTTATAAAAATATTTTCCCTTGAATATCATGTATTTCTTTTATAATGAAAAAATTAGACATTTACAATGTGCTATTCTTATTCCTATATGAGAATTTTTTAAAGATTTGTATTAGCATAGTAAGAAGTAAATAGTTGCTCTTTAAAATTTAAATACATTTTTATTCACTAAAGTTAACTGCGGAAGATAGTTATTTTAAATCTGGGTTCAAGTTATTTCAAGTTATGTTTCCATAAAAATAAAATTCAGACTGGCTTCTTCTCAGTGTGTATTACTGAAATGTTGTTGTAAATAGAAGCTATACATTTTTCTACCAATATGACACAGAAATGCTGAGCATAATCAGTTACCTGTCTCATTAAAATCACAGGTTTTTACCGATTAGGACAAAAAATAGTTGACTTACTGCAAGGTCTTATCTGTTAATGGCCATCTGTCATTTAATAATAAATATAGTTGAGGATAAACAGACAATTCAGTGTCAAAGAGAAAAATAATGAGAAAGCAAAACAAGAAACCTGACCAGTCGCACAAAGAAATACTAAATTTTCCTTAAATGTTTATTAAGAGATTAAAAAGGCTACCACCAGTGACCGCCCTGACAGGGAACACCACAGAGAGTCCCTGATGGAGCAGGAGAAAAAGTGGGGTGCAGAACTCAAATTCTAGTAAAAAGACCAGACTTTATGGTTTGATTGAGACTGGAGGGACCCCAGACGACAAGGCCCCCAGACTCTCTGTTAGCCCAAAATGAAAACCATTTCTGAGGCTAACTCTTCAGACAAAGAAAATGATACTTGTAAAGAGTGTCCTTCTTAGCTCAAGTAGATACATGAGACTAAACGGGCAGCTCCTGTCTGGAGGTGAGATGAGAAGCCAGAGAGGGTCAGGAGCTGGTTGAATGGACATAGGAAATTCGGAGTGGAAAGGAGGAGTGTGCTGTCACAGTATAGGGAGAGCAACTAGGGTCACATAACAATGTACGTATAAATTTTTGTATGACAGACTAACTTGAATTGTAAACTTTCATTTAAAGCACAACAATAAAATAAAAGAATTTCAGAGACCAAAAACAAACAAAAAAAAAGAAATAGAAAAGGGACCCTGCTAACTCAGAACTGCAGCCACTCCCGAAGTCCACCTTTCAGCCAAAGATTAGACAGGCCTATAAAACAAACAGCATACGTGAGGAACATGCTTCTCAGTTCAATCAAGTATACGAGACCAAATGGGCAACATCTGACCAAAAGCAAAGATGAGAAGGCAGGAAGGGACAAGAAACCAGGACGAATGGACACAGGGACCCCAGGGGTGTAAAGGGAAAGGTAGAGAGTGCTGACACATTGCAGGGATTGCAACCAATGTCACAAAACAATTTGTGTATAAATTTTTGAATGAGCAACTAATTTGCACTGTAAACTTTCACCTAAATCACAATAAAAAAAAAATGTTTATAAAAGTATCGTGATAGTCTCTTGGCACTCAAATATGAGACAGATTTATCTGAAGTCATAAACACTGCCTTCTCCTAGAGGGAATGTATAGGTGTAAACTCAGAGATCCAAAATTAGCACTTAATATAGAACTCCTTTCCTGATGCAGGTAAACCAGCTCTCGGTTACCTTTCAGATACCTACCCCCAGATTATACAGAGGTATGAACAATGAAGCTTTTGGTTTGGGCTTTCATCTTCATGTTAGTCCTGATACCTGGGTTACGTGTGTCTGGATGGTTGGGCAAGAGAGAAGGGAGGAGACAAGTGCTCTAGCACAGGAAATTCAGGGGAAGTAATAGTATCCACCTTGTGATATGCAGATGACACAACCTTGCTTGCTGAAAGTGAAGAGGACTTGAAGCACTTCCTGACGAAGATCAAAGACCATAGCCTTCAGTATGGATTACACCTCAACATAAAGAAAACAAAAATCCTCACAACTGGACCAATAAGCAACATCATGATAA